ACTTGAAAGTAAAGTGCGGAAAGGAAAAAGTGACACAAGAGATTTATAGTGGTTCCCCTCACACTCGGAGAGTACTCCACTCCCCTTTCGACTCGAAAGAGATTTCACTATAGTTTAGAATGATTGTATAGCCTAATCACACCAAAGGTGAAGCCTACTATCTAATCTATAGGTAACTAAAGTGTATGAAGAACAATCCTCTTCAAACACTCACTTGTTTCCAACAATCCTGGACAACAAGGTAATATAAAAGATAATCTTGATATAAATTTGATGTCTTGAGAGTATAATGCTATCAATCTTCACGATCGATCTTCTCCTTGAAACAAATATCACTCAAAAGAAATATACAAGTGTTCTTTGAAAAATATGAGATAAAGTTGTGATAACGGTGAAATTTATTCAAAAGTTTCTCTCAAAAATCTGTTTGTATGAACACTTTAAGAAATATTGAAAGATGAAGAGAATGAGTGAATTTGATGATTAAGTTTCTTAGAGGTAAATTGAAATTTGAAAACTGATATGTATTTATACTGTATAATACACCTCTACAGAGGGGTATAATTTTATGCAGCAAAACTGTCAGAAAACAAATGAAAACAGTGCATATTTTCATGAAAAGCTGTCATTTTTCACTTACTGCTTCAGGGTTAATCGGTTAACCATATAGGTTAATCGGTTAACACCCCTTTAACGTTAGAAAATAATCAAAAACAACAACTGTTAACCAATTAACCATATAGGTTAATCTATTAACACTGTAAGTAATTCAGCAAAAAATTAATTTTAGAAACCGTTAACCGGTTAACCATAGGGGTTAATTGGTTAACACTGAAAGTTTTTCAAAACAAAGTTAATTTAAAAAAAAAAGAGTGAGCTACTAAAAGTGTTTTAAAAGTTTTATGATATATGTGAAGTGAGAGATGAATAACTGAACACTTGTATAAGTATTTTAAATGATATTTGGTATACCTTTGAGTTGTTGTTCAATATTCTATCTTCAATACTTGAAGCTTGATTAATATGTATGTGAAGCTTTGATCCATTGACATATGTTAGAACACCATCTTGAAACTTGATGTCATTTGAGTCTCTTGCTTTTTGCATACACATGTTGCATAGAAAATTTGTTGTCTTTATCAAAACTTTTATGCGCTTGAAGCTCGCTTCTACAATCCATATACCTTGACTTGATTAACCAGCTTTGTAACCCTAGTGAAAAAATCAGTTATGCTTTCATTTTCTTCCATCTGAAGCAATTCATACGTCCTTTTGTGAATTTGTAACCTCACATCTTTCACTTTCTCTGCGCCTCCAAACGATTTCTCCAAAATTTCTCATGCTTCTTTTGCTGATTCTACATTACTGACCTTTTCGAAATTGCCTGGATCAACACATTGATGAGTTATAAAGAGAACTTTATAGTCTTTCTTCTTCAATTCTTTGTATGCGGCTTTTTCTTGATCCAACATGTTTTCTGCAAGCGGTGTTACTCATTCCTTCACAAGATCCCAAAGATCTTGATAACAAAAATCCACCTTCATCTCCTTGCACCAATTCTCATAATTCTGACCCTTCAAAATTGGGAGACTCGCCGAAAAATGCTCGTTCGACTGATTCATCGCCATCTCGTCCATGAATCACAACCGAAACTCTAGATACCAGATGTTGAAATTAACCCAAATTTTTGAGTAATTATGAACCAATCTTGATGAACAAGATTCAATCAACTGATCAAAATCCCTTGTTCTTCACTTTTCGCTTAAGTGAATCAATCACACCTTGATTGCAAGAATGATTGTGCGCAACAATTGTTAATGGAAGAATAAAGAAAATTGAATAAGAAAGAAGATTTCTGCAGAGTAACTCTCTGCTATCAAAATGAGAAAATATTATTCAACCGTGCAACTGTACTTTCTGTTGTGTGTTACAAATTATAATAAGGTTACTCCTTGTTTATAAATGAGCTAGCTTGCTTCATAAGATAAAGCCCAAAATATACAAAAGTCCAAAATTTCTATTTTGGTCTGAGTTGAAATCTTGTATCAAGCAACCTGCTTCGACACTTCGATATCTAACACAACTCGACACACACTATACTAGACTAATTTTGACACATCCTTATTTCTATCGAGCTACACCTGCTTCGACACGAGGAATTACATTCTCAACATTATCAACCATTATTTTGACAAGTTACCCTTATTACTTTATTTACCCATTTAAAATTAATATTTAATACTCGTTTTTGTTCCGTATCTTGTACTCAAAGGTCATATTTGTCCCATAACTTAAAGACCTTATGGGTCCTTTAAATTTCTATAAATATTATAATAATTATTTCTAATCAAATATCTGTAACGTTATCTTTCGATCGCATGATAGAAAATATGTAATATTAAACTTTAGTGACCAATTTAATAACAAAAATCAATCACTAAAATGTTTTTTTAAATTAACGAAATTTATGGATAAATGTTCATCTTCTTCACGCAAGAATACATGTATTTTTCTGTTGTGGCCAAAAGCTTGATAAAAGAAGCATCAATTGTGGATTTGGGTATTTTGTTATGGCCAAATGCTTGATGGAAACAGGGCGCCAATTGTAAATTTAGGTTGTTTGAATTTTTATTTTTATTTTTATGTTATCTCTAACGTGCTTCTTCCTCATCTTCACCTTTAATGATACTTTTTTTATATATAGATTTTTTCATTGGTAATTACCCACATGACATACATGGAGCATTTAATAATTATAAATATGCATAAAATATTTCATACCATTAATGTTAACTAACTAATTAAACATGATACATTTTCTACGATAGATCCAAATAATCATTTTTAAATGATTAAAATAAACTTCAAATCTAAGATACAAGATGAAAAATAATATCACACCAGTTTTTTTTTCGGCAAATAAAATATATAATTAAAATAAACATAAAATATAATGACATGAATACTAAAGTATGGCACATCATAAATGAACTCACGTCATAAACAAAAGTTGAATGAAAGTATAACTTGATAAAATATTGAAATAATAATTAAGAAACGGATTTTTATTTAAAAATTGGAAATAGAAAATCAAAATTGTATTTAAGCTATTTTAAAGTAATGATTGAACATATTAAATATTTTAAGTTTGAAAACTGAAAACGGTTAAAGACAAAATAAACACTCAAGTACTATTACAAAAGGCAATCCAATCATGTTATTCTTAATCATAAATAGGGTTAAGAAAAACTTCTAATATAGATAAAGTAATGAAAACGAAAACAAATGAACATGGGAAACCTTGTGCTCTTTGGCGTACTCTACCACAAGAAGACAAAAACATAGATAGTGAGATTTATATTCTTTAATAATGTATTGTAGGTGATGATATTAGGGAGGTGGTTAGTCTTTTGTAGAGGTTGAGGGGTATGCATGGTAAATTACCAAAGCTGCACAAATTTTTGTTTAAAATTTAATTTATTTATAGAATATAGTAATGCAAATTTGACGAGTAACATGTGTTTATTTAATTATTGTTTGTTTACATGTATGGATCTAGAAACCCCAAATGCACGCGTGTTATGCGTTTGGTTGCGGTGAGAGATTGTCGTTTGTTTTGATTTTCTCAATCCAATCTCTGTCAACCTTCATTTCCCTCCTTACCTCTTCAAATTAACACCCACATACATTAAATTATTATGTATAACAAAAGGTCAAAAACTCAAATTTTAAAATAAGAAGACACAATTAATTTTAATAAAAGAATAAAAAAACATTTCAGCCAAATAATTTTGATAGTATCACAGTAAATTTTTTAACACAGTCAATAAACCAAAAAGTATCATTTGCTTCAAAACAAACATGTAGAAGCCATCATTTCTATGATTTCTATGGGACAAAACCTATACTACTATATTTATTTCATTTTAGGTGAAATTACTCCATTCCCAAATTTGTGAAACCTAACTGCATTTCATCTAATAAAGGGGAAGTATTTGAAAGAAAGTATTAAAAAGTGTGTTACAAGATTACTACTACTCCGATTTCTTTTCAAATAAAAAAAAGAAATTCAAAAATCTAAAGAGAAACAAAAAGTGGCCCGTGGGAGCGTGAGTTGCACGCGTGGGGTACAATTCGAACAAGAGTATTAATTATTCAACTGGATGGTGAGTGATGTTATGCGGTGAGGGTGGTGGTGCTGAACTAACCAGTTGAATCAACTTACCCGCGGACCACATTCATAACCGACTCTATATCACTCCTCGCAGATTCAAACTGGATGCTGCATCATCACGCAACACCTTCGTCTCTTTCATTCTCTCACTTTCATCTTCAAGATCTCTCTCTCTGACATAATCCTCTAAACTCGTTTTCAGATCTCAACCGTTTCTTACTTCAACCAGAGAGAAAGGTATTCACCAACTTCACTTTCCGTTACTGCATTTCTCTTATGTAACCGTTTCATTTCGATTTTGATTTTCCCCCTTTTTTCTCGTTTTGACCGTGTTTGAACAATCCAAGATTTCGTTTCCGCTTCTTTCTTTCGATTTTTTCGTTCACACTTGCTAGATCTGACTTCAATCAACGCATTTCTAATCCTAACTATTCGTTTTTATTTCTTCATTTCATATTACATTTACTTTCTAATTCTAACCGTATCCTGTTTGATTTTTTTCTTCTATTTTTTTTTTTTTGCGCTTTCTTCACACCAAAATAGGAATATGTGTTATTAACGGACTCATATTATGTTTGAATTTGGGATGTATTAAACTTGATGCTTAGGTGTATGATTTAGGTTTCTGTATTTGTATTTTCTGATAGCGGAATACGATCTAGTTGCTTGGATATGATGGATGATGATTGGTTCTTCTCACTTGGTGCCATGTGTTTAATGGTGAAAGTATTGAGTAAATTTGGAGTGACATTCTGCATGTAGTTTGTGTTGATGTTGTTTTTGTTTCAGGTTCAAGTTCCTTTGTTTTTCATTTGAAATATTGGAAATGGAGGATGCAATTGATGGTGCTGCTTCTTTGGATTATGCTTCGATTAAGATTTTCCCAAATAAAAACAGGTTAGTATCGGCAATGATACTATGTCTTCCTTTTAGATGCTGCTTTCCTCTTTTTCTGTAATAGATTTCTTTGATTTTTTGTGAGGGAAATCTTTTGAAGTATAATTGGTTCATTGCAGAAAGTATAAGGGTGTGCGTTTGTTTCCGTAGTTTGAATTTTTTCTGTATAATTAAAGATGGAAACATCATTCACTTTTAATATTTTAAAACTAGATTATATCATTAATTGTAAAATTATTAGTTATAAAAAGAATTTGTTAGACCAATGAATTGATTTATTTTAGAGATGTCTTAATAGTATAAATGCGAAGTTGTTTTTTGACAAGACGTGCCCTTATTACATATTAGCAAGATTTTACTTTATATATCGTAGACTTTTGTTTTGTTAAATGGCGGTCATGGTTCCGCTATGATGGATTTTTAGACAACCGCCCGCAATGCGTGTGCTATATATGGCGGATTTTTGGCCTTCTGCCGTTGACAGCATTGGCTCCCAACTATTGTACACATGTACTATATTATAGTTTTTTTAGTTCTTCCCTCAGTAGATTTAATTCTGCATTGAATAACTTATACTGAATCTGTCGTGAATGTTAATTTTATTATGTTTGAATCTGATATTATTTTATATTTTAAAATTTTCCTCCATGGTGGTCTCATAGGTATGACGCATATGTCTGCAAAGGGAATCAATTTGAAAAAGTGGCAGCAGGGCAATTGGAACGTCTATTGCCACATTTACCTGAAATAAATGATTTGCATGCTAAAGGATTTGATGCAAACTTTGATCTTAAATTACCAAAAGATCTGCATGGTGCTGAATGGTTTTCAAAAGCAACTGTAAAAAGGTTGATATCAAATAGTGGTTTATTCTTTTTTTGTTATTATTGCATTTGATTTCTAGGGAAACTTTACCAGCTCTGATATTATTTTGCCTCTTAGGTTCCTGCATGTTGTTGGTTCACCAGATTCAATAAATGACATCAATACTATCATGGATGAGATGTATCAGTTGGAGAATTCAAAAAAATTTCATGTTTCTTTATACGGGAAGGTAATAGTCTGTCTTTCAATAAATCAAAACGAGATGTGTTTAGCTTTTGATTGATAGATGTCTTTTGAAATCAGGACTGTCAGAATCATCTTGGAAGCGGTGAAAGAGGTAAATTTCACTATGTTCTTATTATAGCTGAATGTGTCAGAGGTTGGACTCATGATGTGGTTGAGTAGACAGTAGGGTGGTTTCATTGTCCTCCATATTTCCATTCATTTTAACTGCATTTCTTACATTTGACAGATGGTAACCGCAGCTCGAACGGTGAAGCGCCAACTTCCATAGTAATTTCTTTTCTCCAATACTGTAGAGTTGGTTCATTTTGCAAATTCATTCATGCTACTACCAATAAATCAACTTCTTCAATTTCAATTATCTGGTGTTTTTCTTTATTATATTACATCATATTTCAACTAACAATTTATTGCATACGGACAGACTGAAGTTAGCACCGTGTCATCCGATGCTTCGAAGTATGTTCTTATGACTATGATATTTACATTTATCAGATGTATGTCGACTGCACCCATTATTAAACTTTCTGAAAATATGTTGCTAGGAATGAATTGTTAAAAGCAATGGATCTAAGACTCACAGCTTTGAGGAACAAGTTAGCTGAAACGTTTAACAAGGCTGCAGATGCTAAATGCTCCCCTAAAGATATGACACATTTATTGAATTTCTCCCATCGTTTTGGTGCCACTAATTTAGAGTAAGTTACAGACAAATAACGGACTCTCATAATGTGTGATTGCAAGTACAGGATTGTGCTTATATGTTTTTATTTCGCACTAAGAACATTGCTCTGCTGTTAAACATGTTTTCCCTTCAACTTGTTTATGTTTTCAGGCATTCTTTGTGCAAGTTTATAGAACTGAACCAAATAAGACAGGATGTTGATGAAACTACCATGCTCACGTGTGATGTAACTCGTGTGCTGCACAATGATGGAAGCAAGGAATTTAAAGACCTGCATATATCTAAACCTTCAACTTCAGATGCACCAATTAAGTACGGTGTTTCACCAGCTAAAGTTGCTCAAGTTGAGAGAGACAGTTCAACAGGAAGTGAGGAATCTTCTGACTCTAGCGATGAGGACCAAATATCTGCTGAGAGAAGTCGTTCCCTACAAAGATCTGTAACCCCCAGAAGGTCAGCATCCCCAATGCGAAGGGTACAGATAGGAAAGGCTGGGCCCCGCAGAGCCGCGGCATTAACTATTAAGAGTCTCAATTTTGTCCCTGCTAGATCTTATAGAGACGCTGCTGAAAATGGTTTTGAAGGGGAAGTATCAGAACAGCCTTTTAAGAAGCCAGAAATTGATGTAAGGAGGATAACTGTGCAAGATGCCATCAGTCTTTTTGAAAGTAAACAGAGGGATCAATCTGAAGATATTCAAAAGAAGAAGTCATTAACAGATGTGTCTCTTAGTACAACTAAATCTGTCTTAAGAAGATGGAGCTCAGGTATGGGGGAAACCTCTGTTCAAGGCCTGCAAGATCCTGTTCCCCAAGATCCCATTCCATTGACTTCAAGCGATGCTATATGTGATGAAATTCCTAAGAATTCTGAAGTAGAAGTGGTGTCTGATTTTATTTCTGAAAGTCAAAATACACCGGACTCTGATGTAAAACCAGAAAGACAGGAAAATGTAGATTCTTATATTGTAGATAATCTAGAAGAAACCAGTCCCATAGCAAGAGAGGAAACAATAAAAAAGTTAGCAGCCTCGGCAGAATGGAATCAACGAAAACAAGCAGAGTTCAACCAGATTCTTAAGAAAATGGTTGAAAGTAAGCCTGTTTTATTTGGAAAGCCCCAGCCTAGAAAAAACCAGAACACTTCGTCTGAGCAGAGAGGGCGGTCTTATGATCATTATAAGGAAAAAAGGGATGCAAAACTCCGAGGAGAGAAGGTTGGAAAGCGAGTAGGAAAAGAAGCACCGATTCACGAAATGCAGCAATTAGTTAATAAGAAAAAGGCTGAAATGTCCAAAAATGTGAGTGCAACTAAAACAAGTTCTACGAGGTTACCTCAAAAACCTCTTAGAAATTCACCTCAGCCCGCAAATTCCCCAAAGGAAACAATCCCTAAGCCCACAGTTGCGAAAAAAGTGTCAGCTAAATCATCATCAGTGCCTGCTACCCGTAAGTCTTGGTCAGCAACACCCTCACCTAAGACTACCGGGACACCCCCTTCTATAAGTCGTGGAGGGACTTCATCTGCTAGCAGCACCCCAACACATCGAAAGCCAGTGTTAACAGCATCTGTTCCCCTACCAAGCCCACAAAGGGAAAAATCTCAGCCGCAAAGCCGAAATGAGAAAGAAATTCAGCCAAGTAATGCCAAGAACCTCAAAAGCACGAATGCGAAGCGGCAGGCAGGTATCCCAAACAAGAGCAATGCAATCAAATCAAACAAGAGCAATGCAGTCAAATCAAAAGTGACATCAGATTCTGGAGAAACTGTTCCTTCCAAGGCTAGCTTAGTTAACAAGGGGACCAAGAAAAGCAGTGTAGTTCCATTGGAATCAAAACCATTTCTACGCAAGGGTTCACGAATGGGGAATGGTACCGGCGATCCTAACAAGAATAAAAGTCCTCCTCCTAAGCTGGACAAATCTCACAGAGATGGTGAAGACCGTGTTGAAGATCAAGAAAGTGAGTTGGTTGTCAATGCTTCTGACTCTGCCAGTCGGCATTCAGACAGGGACACTGTGGCACCTAGTCATCATATTGCTGCTACAGAATCAGACCCTCAGAATCAGATAAATAACCATTTGCTATGTGGTGAGACAGAAAACTTAGACCAAGATCCTAGTACCGGGGATGTCTCAACATATATAGAAGAATCTTCCTTGAATGTAAGAAATGAAGAAGAATCAACCATATCACCTTCAGCCTGGGTAGAGACAGAAGAGGATCTGGAGCTGCCCAAGCCATGTGAGGATAGCACATTTCAACCTGCATCTCTGGCCAATGCTGCAGCATCAGGATCAACTAGTCCTCGTGTTCGCCATTCTCTATCACAGATGCTTCAAGAAGAAATCAGCGAACCTGACATTTGTGAGTGGGGAAATGCCGAGAATCCTCCTACCATGCTTTACCAAAAAGATGCGCCCAAAGGTCTGAAAAGACTTCTGAAATTTGCCCGGAAGAGCAAAGGTGAAACAGGTTCTACAGGCTGGTCTACTCCATCTGTTTTTTCTGAAGGAGAAGATGATGCTGAGGAGTTTAAAAATTCTAACAAAAGGAATGCTGACAATCTACTGAGAAAGGCTGCACTCAATGTGAAAAGCTATGACTATTTAGGTACTAGTAAAATTATCTAGTAGGTTTCCTCTTATTTTCGCCTTTCTGTTTTAATTTAGTTTATTGCTCCTCATTCATACCCAAGTGCAATGCAATAAATTCCAATGTCTTCAATGTTGTCACATTTCTGGTAATAGCAAACCTTCCTCTAACATGTGCTTGAAAAGCTCAAACATTTGATGCTTTCCTTGTGCCGAAAACTCGTGCTAACATAAACATTGTATATTTACAACTTAGTTAAACAAAAGATGCCATACTTATTTGGTATTCAATTTTAGCTAGAAACGTTTGATTTCTGGCATATCTTGGTTAATCTTCTACAAAAATCTTAATTATAGCGTCCTTGGTATTGAGAGCTCAAGTAGAGTCTGAAAAATAAGCTGCTATTTTTTTGTGCTATCTTTTATGTCACACTTGGTTTGAAAAATAAGCTGTACTTTTCTGTTTGAGATACCTTCCTTCCTCATGTCAATATTCTCATCGTTCATAAATATCTGTCATACAGCAAGAGATGATGGCAAGGGTTCTCACAAGATGCAAGGTGGCCGTGATTCAGGTGCTGGTCCAGCCACACGAGGTCAGTCTTCACTTTACGACTTAAGTTGCAAATATGATTTAGTGATCTTTATACAAGGAAATTATAAATTTTTCTTTTCTGACTAGTGATGGCCCTCACTAATTCCTTCCCATGTTCATGTTCCAGGATCAAGGTCATTCTTTTCACTTTCAGCTTTTAGGGGGACCAAGCCCTGAATCAAAGATTCATCAATGCTATGGGGATTTTGTTTGTCTCTGTCATCATCCCAAGAACACGTTCATTTCAGGATTAGTATGGAGTTCTTGAATCAACAACGATTGCTAGATCAGAAATAATTTCAAGAGGATTGGTGATAGTTACGAAATTTAGGGGGGTTGGGTGGAATATTGTAAATTCATTATATTGTGTGAGCTATTTTATTTATTTGCTCTAAAATTATAATTCATATGATCCTGCCTCGGTTCCTAGAAATTTTCCTGTCCCTGGATTCTTTTTCTAATGTTGTCGAAGTTCATGTGGTCTTATGGTTCTCATCATTGTCCATTGCAGATAACTTTTTTTTTGAGAGGCCATTGCAGATAACTAGTGTAATTAGTTATTACGTATGAAATTTTTTAGTTATTACTCTTGTATGGTATTGTAATTTTGTTAAAGGAGACATACTTTTAAATAAGATTAGGGAGAATTATCAATTTTGCCTATTTACACTAATATTAGGTTAACGATGCATCTCTAGGATGTTATGTTTTTGAGAGACTTGAGTTCGTGCAAACAAGATTCAAGAAATTGGTGTTCAATTAAAATTGATGGAAAATTAGGCAAAAATTTATTCTCGGGTGGTGAAAACAATTGAAAACTCAATTGTTTTTATAAATTTTTGGAGATGCTCTCTGAATATATTTTAAATCTTCTAATTCTTTGTAAATCACACCATCATTTAATTTTTGCTAAAAACTAGTTTGAAGATATATTCCTGAAATTTTTTAAAATAAATTCGGAGATATAGTTTCAAAAACACACTTGAAACCAGTTATACAGTGTTTTTTATTGAAATTTGTGCCATTTTTTTGAACTTTATCAGTTTTAAGAAATATTAAAGTAATAGAAATTGTTTTCTTGCATTCCCGTATCTTTTTTTAGCATTTACGCTAATGTAAAAAAATTGATTTTCTGTAAAATCAACTTTAAATTGAAATTTTACCGAGCCATTTCAGCAGAAAAATTCTAAATTTTTTGTTTTTCTATTTTATTTGATTATTTTCTGTTTTGATATTTTCAAAAAGAAATTGTACTCTTAATTTGATTGTATTTGTTTTTTAGTTGTATTTTCAAATTTTATTTTAATTGTTTATTAATTTTTTAATTACTTTTCTTAATAAAACATTGTTGGTATCTACATATGTTACATTGCTGATGCACCCCATACTATATATATATATATATATATATATATATATATATATATATATATATATATATATATATATATATATATATATATATATATATATATATATATATATATATATATATATATATATATATATATATATATATATATATATATATATATATATATATATATATATATATATATATATATATATATATATATATATATATATATATATATATATATATATATATATATATATATATATATATATATATATATATATATATATATATATATATATATATATATATATATAAGAACATACTTTACAAATATGTATATCTAAAAGTATTTTTTTTACAAAAATATAGTGTATTTTGGAGATGTATATCCAAAGTTAAGTATAGTGGATGACTTACTCATTTTCGTTCAATTTTATGAGAAATGGATGTGTCCCGAGATGCATCTCTGAAAATTGAGAACATTTTTAACTTTTTGTCAAGGGTTTAGAAGAACTTATAAGAATGAGAAAAGAAAATTATGAGAATTAACTCATAAATACATACCAATATGTTGTTCAAATACAACTATAATTAAAAAGGTGCCAGTCCATTGGTCCTGAGCTTCAAGACTTCAAAACGTGTCTTCACCTGAGCAAGCTTCAGGTCATGTTGAAGGTCCTGAGCCTTTAGTTGATCCACCTCTTTTGCCAGCTCATGAGCTATTTTAGCCTACTCAATGCCTAAGCCAGCCTCTTTCGTTATCTTTGTCTAAGGGGAATTCAAATTAGTGATGTCTATTGCTGCCATTTTTTGCTTTGCCTCCTCAAGAGCCTTCTGCAGTCAATTGATTTGTTCGGCCCATGACAATATATCTTTATCAAGAGAGGCCGACAACTCTTTATCGACTACCTTGGCCTCCCATTTAATAACATTTTGTCGAGACAGAGACACTAAACATTGTTGTTGGGTCAAGGTAGCTGCTTTCTCCTCGACACATCTGGAAGAATCCCTTTTGAATGCCACAATTTGGATAGCTTGGTCCAAAAGAATTTATAGATCCAAAACCATAGTAGAGATTCAAGAAGGGGCCTCCGGTCACTCAACTTAAATATCAACTCTTGTAGTTCAGCAAGAATAGGAAGGCTAGCATGGGCGGCTTCCAGAAGGTTTATGCTAGCCATATTTACTTTCAGTTGTTGCAAAAGTTCGTCAAAATTGGAAATCGAGAATGCTTCAGGAGAGGCAGTGGACTCCATGACAAGCTCGTCATATGATTCTACGAGGCGCTTAAAAAGTTTGATTGGAGTCTTTTTAGGTGCCTCACTCAGGCTTGAAGGGCTAACGGTTGATGCAGGAAATAAGGAAGGTTCCAGGAACTTTGGATTGTGGATCAGGATTGGGTGACAAGCTCGAGCCTTCTTGCCTTTCAGAAAGGACAGGGGAGTCATGGAGACTCTAGGAGAAGACGATGACCTCCTGAGCGGGGAGTACTTTTTCAACGGTCGCATGAACAGGGCCTGCATGAGCATTCCCATCCCCCAAAGTCGCAGGCTCTTCTATAATAGTCTTCAAAACCTTCACAAAAGAGAGGAATCACAACCCAGGAAAAAAGCAGACGGGTAAAAAAGTCAATGGAAGATCAAAGTACCTGAGCAGAAGGAAGTGCATGTGTAGAGGATGGGGGATGATGGATCGGAGGCTGAGTCGACATGTTGTGCGACTTTCTCTTCTTCTTTTTCTTCAAGAAAACAACCTCCTCCGCATCCTCTATGCCAAGAGAAATGGAGGACTTGAGCCTGAACCTCTTCTTATGGTTCCTCCTATCAGAAGGCTCTAGTACTACGGTGTTTAGACACGACTCGAGTGCGGTATCTGTGAGGGAAAGGTTCCCTATCATTATACCTTTGCGTGTTTTAATGATGTCAAAACTAGGAAGTTTAGTTATTGTGTAGTTCGGATGGTATCAATCTATCTAAGACATGCATTTATGCTTCATAAAGTTCAAAATCATTCCTAAAACATGTATGAGACATTTAGAATCATACTTCTTATAAAAAATAATGTTTTTGACATTTTTCATGTATATAGGCCGAGTCACTCACAATATAGGTCGACTCATGCTGAAGGAAATTCCTTTTGGAGCATTCTGTCCTCTATGAGTCGACTAATAGCTCCTGTAGGTCGACTCATACTGTAATGTTTTTCATTTGGTGTATTCTCCACCTATGAGTCAACTCATAGTTCTGCATAGGTCGACTCATGCTGTAATCTTTTTCATTTGGTGCATTCTGCCACCTATGAGTCGACTCATAGCTCTGCATAGGTCGACTCATCGCTTGTTTGCACTCAAAATTAAGTCATTTTATGCTTCTAAAGTCATATTTTCTTGCATTCATTCATTCTCATATAAATAATCATTTGCTCCATTTTTTATAAGAAGAAGAAATTTGAAAATATACACCTTTTGCTCTTCATCTTCACTCTCATCTTGCATTCATCAAAAATCACACATAATCATCCTTTTTTATTGTTGTGCTTGATCAAGAGTGATAACGTCCAAACATAGGATTGGTTATAATCATATTTTGGGTAGAGATTATGTGGGTTTTTCTTTAAATAAAACCGTTAGGGTTTTTTCCTCCAAGAATCTTGAGGATTTGAGGGGTTTTTGCACAGATCATTTCTTCACAGATTCAGCTGATCGAAGGTGATTGAAGAACGGGTGGTTTGTTCAATCTAGTAGCGGTAACCGGAGGATTATGGAAGAAAGATTTGGGTTCGAACTGTGTTTGATTGAAATCATCCGAGCTAAAGATTTGAAGACCGTGGAGTCGTTCAGACAAGTAGTTGGAATTGGGGCTTATTCAACACGTTCGAGGCACTTGATTCGACTTGAACCAAGGGAAGAGAAGCAGCTAGTTTCAACCTTTACAATTGGGTTAGATTGTTGTAGTACTAGGGTTTCTCTTGTAGTGAATTTTGCATACAGATTTTATACATATCTCAATTCTATTTTTGGAATTGGGGGCAGACGTACCCTAAGCGAGGACGAAAGGGGAACTTCCTAAACAAATCCGGGGTTGTTCTCTCTTTCTCTATTTCTATACTTTTGAATTGTTAGCATTTGTGTACAATCAACTGTTCGATTAAAATTCTGGTGTAGTGTAGTGCTGAAAATAGTTTTGAAAACTCATTACAATCATTTTGATTGTAATTGGAAAATTTCTGCACTACAATTACTTAGAGAATATCACTTGGGGTATTTTGCACACCAAGTGTTCGACGAATTGATCGCGCACAAACTATTTGAGTTTTTGTCAAATTGAGTTTAATTTTTACAAGTCATTGGAAAGTGTATAAACTTAAGTGATTCTAATTGTATTGATTAGATTTCAAAATATTGATTCGATTTCTCATTGGATTCGATATTCCATCTTGGCTTATCGCATATCCGATCTTTTCAGTAACGGTTCGTTTAGACGACATAGCTCCTCGGGTGCTTTCGCATATACTTTTAAACCTATTTTTAAGCACCAAATCTGTATAGAAATTAGTGATCTATTCAACCCCCCTTCTAGATCATTGTCGTTGTCTAACAGTAACGCCTGTTGGGGTAGAGATTTTGGATTTCTTAGGGAATGACTGAAGGGAACTGAGAGCCTCTTTGTCGCTGCAAAACTCTGACTCTTTCTGTGGAGACTAACAAAAGTGGGAGTTTAGATAAAGAAATAAAATAAGAAGTGAAGAAATCAACAAGCCAATACAAATCAGTGCTTCTTGGCCAGTCGAGACTTTGAGGAGAGTTCTACCTACACCT